CTGGTCTCATTCTCATAGTTTTAATCATATTATGAAATGAACACAAGATATGCCTCCAAGTGGTATATGAAGAATCTTGAATCTTCCACTCCCTTTGTCTCTGAATATTAGGATCAGAAGAATAATAAGTAATGCTCATGAGGTGGCTATTCCATTGTAACTGAACACAACTTGAAAAAGCATATTAGCTTTATGTTTGCCAGAAAAGCTAGCTTTATGTTTGCCAAAAGAACTCAATAACTTTTCCCAATCTGAAGAACTCTAGGTCTGTTTGCAAAAAAATCATCATCATATATAAGACTTACTGAGTTCTTACTATATGTCAGAGCATTTTCTGATATTTTTCTTGTTTCAACTCATTCAATCCTCAAAACAATTATATGAGGTAGAAACTCTTAGTATTTGACTTTAAGAGATAAAGAAATGGAGGCACCGTGCCGTTAAGTAGCTCACCGTAGGACACACAACCAGTAAGAGGAGGGGCTGGGAATGCAAACAGTTTGACAGCAGTGTTAATGCTTTTAATCATTATATTATTTATATGAGTACTGGAAATGGCTTTTAAATAAATTTTCCTATTTCCTTCATTAATTTTGATACATTTTATTTTTAAATTATAAAATTAAAGAAACTATACATCTGAAAATATATAGATGAACTTGAAGATAAAAAAAAATATTATTATTAAAAATCCCACTACCTGCATAAATTTTTGGTAAATCCTAAACATTTACTCATGAAAAGTGTCATTTCTTCCTCTCCCTAAAAAGATTTATACTCTATACCTGTTTCCTTGACTTATTGATCTCTTTCCATGCTAGTTAATGTAGACTTGTATCATATTTAAAGCTTACATTGTATGAATGTATACACTTAGTTATACTTAATTAGTCCCTTAATCCTGAATGATTAATCTGTTTGTAATTAGTATTGTAAAAAATACTGATAAGTAAAGTTAAACAATTTTTCAAATATATATTGTCAATTTATCTGCTTTTTCCTTATAATTAATTTCAAAATAGAGATTTCTATCTCACAGTTAAACAAATTTTTACTTCTACTTTCAAATGGCCTTCTGGAAAGAATGTATCACTGTATTCCCATAAGCTGTGGAGACACTGATTTCCCAGTCCCTCAGCAACACTGAGTTCAATCATTCTGAATTTACAGCAAACTTAGAAAGACCTTCTTAAACATTAAGTTGATAAAATTAATTTATACAATTTTATTAAAATTTATAATTTTACTTTTACAATTACCTTCACATCATCCAGAGTTTATTTTGCTGTAAGATGTATGGTAGGATATTTACAACTTTAGGTTGCTAATGTTGAGCTACATATTTAACAACTATTGAATACTATAAATTTATTGAATAATCCTTTTTCCTACATAATTTCAATGCCTCCTTTATTATACAGTAAATAACTAATATGTATATAATTAAATTTTGACTAGTTTTGTTCCATTTATCTATTCAATTTTAGTCAAATTAGTCATTTTAAAATTATTATAGGTTTATGACATATTCTAATATATTTTGTAGAAAGCATTACCTTGTGTCTCCTAACTCTCGTTGCATTACATTTACATTTCAAAATTTCCCCAGTTATTGAAATGGACTTTTAGATCACTTTGTAATGTTCCAAATAATTCCACTAAACTCTTCATGAGCACTGCAGTTATTACATAGAGTAGTTCAGTGAGAATTGATATTTTTAGTTTTGAGTCTATTATTTTTCTATTAGCATGGTTTGATCATCCTTTTTATCCAAGGTAACAAATATATAAGAAAAGATTATTTTCAATAGTTGCTGTGCATCTTTTAACATTAGTTTCATTTATAAATGAAATATAAATTCATCATATTTAAAAGATAACTACTGAATTTATTATATTTGTTAAAATGCTCTTGTTAGATTTAATAATTTCCATTTAATTAAGTTTTCATGTAGATACTTGTATGATTTGTAAATGATTGTAGTTTTGCTACCTTCTTTTCAATATTATTGCTTTATTTAATCTTCTCTAATTTATAGTATACTTTTGTATTACTGTGCTAGCAGGATTTCTTTCTCGCATTCTCAATTTTAATGTACATCTCTAATCTAATACCAATCATTGTTTAAAAAATCTATTAAAAGCTTTGTATTAAAAAATGTTTTTCATCCTTCCTATATTACTAAGAGTTTTTATCAGGAATGGATGTTGAAATTTATTCAATCACTGTTCAGTGCATCCATTCCCTAAAAGATTTATGGAAATTCCTCTGAAATCAAGTATAGCTGACCTCCTATCCTCAGAGTCATATATAACGTACTGTAAGATTTCAAGAATGTTCTCTTGATTGTTGTTAGGCACTGTTGAGTAGGTTCTAACTCATAGCAACTCTATAGGACAGAGCAGAACTGCCTCATAGGGGCTGGACTTGGGTATGACTGGAAATAGAGAGATAATTCAGAAGCCTTTTCTATTAGAAAAATGAGAAAACATGTAGCCAGGAAGCAAGAAAATAACAACGGAAATGAAGAGGAGGAACATAAATTGAGAAAATATTCAAGGGTGAAATTCGTGCTTCAGGAGATGGAAGGTATAGAAAGGACAAGAATTCTACACCCAGGTGTCTGTACTGGGCATTTGGGAGAATGGTAACGATATTTATAAAATCATTTGAGTATATTATAATATTGTAAATTTAGTTTTTAAGTTTTTATTTGAAGTTGAGTGTGGGACTTAAACTTGTGTATACCACTTATAGTTTTGTATATATTGCCCTGGAGTCCAAAGATGAAGCCACAGATTTTAAAAATCATCAACATCTAGGTACTAGCTAAAATTAGTAAAAAAAAAAAAAAAAAACTTGTTGCCATTGAGTCCATTCCAACTCAGTGAATAAACAGGTCAGAATAGAATTGCCCCACAGGGTTTCCAAGGCTGTAATCTTTATAGAAGCTGTCATATCTTTCTCCCACAAAGCAGCTGGTGAGTTCAAATTACTGACCTTTTGGTTAGCAGCTGAGCCGTTAACTACTGTGCCACCATGACTCCTTGGAATTAGTAAACTGGTATTGAATTAAAAAAAAATACTTAGGACAAAGCCATAGTCACATCAAAAATTAAGGAGAAGCAGAAAAAAAGTAATCCTACGTAAGTGAAATATATAAAGAAGACAGACATATAGGAGACTAGTTAGGGGAGTGCTGTCATAGAAATGCTGGGATTGCATTCAGCTGTAAGTAACAGAAATCCTGATTTGTAATGGCTTAAACAAATCAGTGTTTATTTTTCTCACATTACAAGATAGCTAAAGGAACACCATTGCTGTGGTTCAACAGTCATTTTGGTTCTACGTCCTTTCTAACTTTTCACTTTATTAGTCTTAGTACATGAGTTTTGGAATCTCATAATTGCCACGTCATTAGGCAGAACATTATCATTAAATGCCGATAAAAAGGGACCAGCAAAAGGACCTTTCTCCACATGAAGCTTTTTTCTTTTTATTTGGGAAGGAGATCTCTCCACAGTCAACATTGGTTTACATCACATTCAACAGTTTTGGGTCAGGTGCCCCATCTTAGACCAATCTATCATCAAGGACATGGGATTACAGTAACTGGTTTAGAAAAATCATTCGTCATGTCCTTGGGTTGCAATGGGGCTACTTTCTCATAAAATTGCAAGATTTCAGCCCACTGCCTGAATAAATGGCATTTCTGTTGGGAAGAAAAGGAAAAGGGAATGGCCAAAAAGGCAAGGGCATAGGGAAATTACAGACAAAAAAGGAAATGATGAACAGCATCAAATTGTGCAGAAAGATCAAGGAAAATAATGAATGAAAAGTGATTATCATGTTAGGTATTCAGAATCCAGAGTTTCTTCCTATAAAAAAGGAATTTTTTTGACTTATTACCTGAATGAAAAGTGAGTATAACCGTGTCATTGAAGGACTGGAGAGAGAAATGAGTAATTATTAGGAAACACAGGATTCAGAGATGTGATATTTTTAAAAAGAGAGCTACTATGTTAATAGGTCTAGGAGAGTAAAGAGTTGAATAAAGTTTAATTGATGGATCTCTGGTGAAGATTCAGGGTACATTTAAAGGTGGTGGTCTTAAGAGCATAGCACCCTGGTTATCAGCATGGGTTATGGTGTCCTAAATCTCTGGATACAAGTCCTGGCTTTGACACAGATCTTTCTGAGACTTAGTTTCAGTCTCGTTTGTAAAATGAATATAACAAAACATTATGTATCTCAGAATTTTTGTGAGGTTTTAAAAAAGAGTATGTTCTTAGTACAATGTCTCACGTGAGGACAGCACTTAATATATGTTATCCATTATTGTTATGTTTATTTAAATAACATTTTTATACTTATTAACAGGCATTTGATCTTTTGTATAAATATTTTATTGGATGTACAAATCTATGTGTGTACCAATGATAATAATGTGTCATCAGCAACACATTATAAATAATCTGAAACTGTGCAATCGACTTCCATTGTAAACTGTAAAAAAAAAAAAGTATTAAGTAGTTTTCATCTGAAGATCTCTATTAGCCCAGAGAAGTAGAAAACTCAGCTAAAAAGAATTTGCAAGTTAATATGAGAGTGTTAATATCCAGGTGACAGAAAATGCCTGAGATTATACACGTGGGAGAACAGCCAGCTAAGTTGTCAGAGAAAATGTCCAGAAATCCTTGAGGACCAAAAACAAAAGACCTAATAATAGAGTAAGAGGGGAAGTAACCCCATTTGCCTCCGTCTAAAACATTCAAACCTTTATTTCTCTTTTTATGGAATCACTTTCTTCATGACTGTAGTCCTTCTATTTTCTTTATTTTTCATCTTTCCAATTCAATGATTTATAATTCCACTATATGTAACTCATAGAACAAATTAGCAGGGTAAATAGAAAATCAACTTTTAGTGCCACTGATTCTGACACTTCCTCATTTCCTATCTACAGGTCATTTGAAAATCGTCTCTTCTGTCCCAATCAATGGGTAGACTAAATGACTCTGTGATTTCTGAGTTTGTGTTGCTGGGACTCTCCAGTTCTTGGGAAACTAAAGTTTTTCTCACATTGACATTCTCTTTGCTCTATTTAGGGATCATCCTGGGAAACCTTTCCATTTTGTTTTTGGTGATTCTTGATTCTCATTTACATTGTCCTACTTACTTCCTGCTGGCCAATCTGTCCCTCATTAATGTGGGTCTTTCTTCTACCACAGTCCCCAAGCTGATCACAGACCTTCTAAATGAATACAAAGTAATTTCTTTTCAAGGCTGTATGACACAGATATGCTTCATCCACATCAGAGGAGGAGTGGAGATGGTGTTACTCATAGCCATGGCGTTTGACAGATACATGGCAATCTGTAAGCCTCTTCACTACCTGACCATCACGAGCGCTAAAGTATGTGTTTCAACCACAGTCATGGGTTGGGTAATTGGGGTTATCCATGCTATGTCTCAGTTTTCATTTGTTATTAATTTGGCCTTTTGTGGGCCCAATAAAATAGACAGCTTTTATTGTGACTTTGCTAGGATCATAAAACTTGCTTGCACAGATGGATACAAATTTGAGTTTATTATTGCTGCCATTAGTGAGTTCATGATCATGGGAACCTTCTTCCTGCTAATGCGTTCCTATGCCTTCATTTTGGTCACTGTCTGGAAACGCTCCTCAGGTGATTTATCGAAAGCATTTGTCACTTTTTGTCAGCTCACATCACTGTGGTTGTTCTTTTTTGTCACTCCATGAATATTTCTTTATGTGTGGCCTTTCCCTACATCATTACGTGATAAATATCTGTTCATTGTTGACTTTGCTATCACCCCTGTCTTGAATCCTGCCATCTATACATTAAGGAACGAAGACATGAAGATAGCAATGAAAAGATTGAACAAACGACAATGTTATGTCAGATTTTGCTGACCATATGTATCTTTGGAGCTACAAAATTCTACAACCACTTGCCTCTTAGAAATCTCCTCTTAAGCATCCCACATTTAACATGGCCATAACTGAATGAATTATCTATTTCCTTAAACCTGTCTCTACTTCTTTGGTAGAGCATTTACTCATTACCTTTACTATAACGGGAAAAGTAAGAGGTGTCACTGTTATCTCTATCCCTTGATTTACAGGCACTTTTTTTTTAACATAAGGGACATAGAAACATCTAAAGGTCATTTGTTGAAAGTATATATTTTGAAGAACAGACCCCCAATTAGGCAGTGTGTCATCTTCAAAATGGACCTTAGCTGCAACTGTAAAACGCTATCCCAATGTTCTGTCAGATTGACAGCTCCCAGTTGTTGTCATATATGGTAGGATCAGTGGGCTTCCTAATTATGTGTGTTTTGGTGCACTTTCTTTGCTATAAAGTGTATTTTCTTGGCTCAAGAAAATATTATGCAGGATTTCATGTTGGAAATCAGTCTATGAGCCCTTGGATAGTGGTGTTAGCCAAAGTACTTAAAGAAAGATACATCAAATGCAGAATATATCTTAATCCCAGAAAGGACAAATCCCTGCCACCTCCAATTTGGAAGGTTACAATGTAAGCAAGTATGCTTAAGTTATTGATATCAGTCCTAAAAAATGATATCATTTCAAGGATGTACTTGTGCTGTTGACAGGTCAAACATTCTACAGTGAAAGAGGCTAGAAAGGCTCATTCTAGGAGAATTTCATGTGTAGCCTTCCTTTCTACCACGACATCTTTTTCGTTCACGGGCTTAATGTGGAAACTAGGTTAGCTGAGAGGAAGTTATTGTTTCTCCTTTCAGTTAATAGTTAAACACTGTGCACCTAGTTAATGATTTTTTATATTAAATTCTTATTCTTCAAATGCATTTGGTGGTTTCTCTCTCCTGGTTGAAGCCTGGCTGACACATCTCATCCCCAAGAGAAGAAAAGAATAGAAAGACCTAAATGGTTACACCAGTGAATTCTTCCAAACTTTTAAGAGAAAAAAGGCATTCCTAAATAAACTCCTTTAGAAATATATAAAAAGAACACAGTTTTTATATACGAGATCAAATAAAGGGTATGTACTACCAACAAAGAAATTAGAACATTTGATCTTTGCTTGGATGGTTCCATATTTAATGATCCAGTCACACTACTCAAATGTCACCACCTAAAAGGCAACCAGTTTGGCAGTATGACCCAGTATGATGAAACCTACAGCATATGAACAGTAATCAGTGCCTGCATAAAGCCATGAAAGAGAACAGTTAGGTGTCCAGTACTAGAGACTGCAATGGAAGTTGGTCCCAGCAGTGACTTCTTTGAAACATCACCCTTCCAGAAATATTCTGAGAACAAAGTTACAGAAAAATAAGGATTGGCTGAACTACCTCAGCGTACATTTCTGCTACATTCTTAAGTAGCAAAAAAAGGAAAGGTATTTTCTTGCTTTTTGGGTGTAAACTTTATCAGCCATTAAAATTTAGACTCCTCTAGTTTTTCACTAGCTGTAAACTACCCTTCTCGTCCAAAGACATGAAACTACATACTACTAAGGGACTGTTCACACTGACACTTACAGGATTGAAAGAGCTGTTCATCGAGAATTATTATAAAGTATATCAGACAATGAAGTAATCAACACCTACACTTTCTGGAGAGCTTTACCTTTTATGATTTGCTTGTACATTAGTATTTTCTGATGTGAGAATGAAGAGATTTCCAAAATACTTCCTGATTAGAACTGGTAGCCAGTACATTAAATATTGATATAAAAACGAGTGAAAAAAAAAAAACTGGAACCCGATTCAGTATCATGAAAACAACATTTTTACAACAATAAAAAAAACTACTATAGTAGACAGGGTTTAAAGAACATTAAATCACAACTATGAAAAGTTGAATTTCTTATATATAGTATCAAATTTCTATGCAAATTTTATGCCTCAGTGGGGAAAAAAACCGTTTTTTTCTATGACATTCATTTTGTTTTTATCTATGAGTGTGATGGATGAAATTTTTTTCTCTTGTGGTGTTGTAATTGAGCTTAAAAATGACTCTTTAAACATTTACTTAATTTTCTTCTATGATTTGTTTTATTTTATTTGGTTTGTGGGCTGTTGGAATTGTAATTTTTAATTATCTTCTAAAAAATGAAGTTTAAATATGATTTCTGGTCTCAACTGAATAACTTAGATATCTCAGTTGTTCTTAGGTCAACTGACTTGTAGACTTTCACACACATACATGCATACACACACACAGACACACGCACACACACATTTTCTTGTTACATGTTCAACTTCCTAGCTTTAACCAACTCATTATGCTCAATATCCAAGATTCATACTATTGTGCTACTGATTTTTAGAAACAGAAGTAGTATTTACAGTCTATATGCAGTCCCACATCCACCCTCTCATTTTGGTTGCTATAATTTTTGATATTTTATACTAATAATTCAATACACCTGTTCAATCACCATCTATTTATCATGCATTGACTGTATTCTCCCTTAACTGGGAGAACTGGTATTGCATTTATCTCAAATACTCAAAAACATGTGCTTTCAAATTCAGACTTTCAGATTCTTAGAGCAAGCAGCCCCTAATACGAAGATGGTTTTATTGTGAATAAATGCAGAGTTTCATACAAGAAGAATACAGGGGAAAAGAAATATGACAAAATTTGTATTTACATCTTTTAAATATACATTTTAGTCAATCTAAAGATTTGAATTTCAATAATTTTTAGTTCTACTCATTAGAAAAATTGTTTATTGAAACATTTTTTGCCCCAAATGCCAACTTAGCTTATTTAAAAGGCTGAAAATAGGAGTTGCTTCTGCAACCTGTTGTTCTGTCTGTAGAACTGGTTGGGTGATTACAGTATTACTACACAGGCTATCCATGCTAATAAATCTAGTTGTTTAATTTTGGCACAAATGTTTTAAAAATATGTCATTCAAAAATTATATGTATATATATTAAATTCAAGTAGCACTGGTGACACAGTAGTTAAAGCACTCAGGTGCTAACCAAAAGGTCAGTGATTCAACACAGCCACTCCACAGAAAAAAAGATGGGACAGTCGTTCTTCCTAAGATTACAGCATTGGAAACTCTGTGGGGCAGTTCTGCTCTGTCCTGTAGGACATAGTTGGAAACGACAGCAATGGGAATATTAAATTGAGGGAAAAAAAAAAATACATCAGATATCTTCCAGTCAAAATTCTAACTGCATATAAGGCACATATAGAACGTGCATGTCCTACTATTAATTTTGTCTAGTAGGACATAATGAAAGATGATATTTCAAGAAAAGACAAAATATTGAGAAATAAAACATAACTCTATACTAAGCATATATTTTCCTTGAACATCTCAGGTACAGTTTGAGATAAAGGTGTTATATGACCGCCTCCCCTCCCACTTCAAGTTCAAAGTGATTTCAGTGTAACAGTCATAGTTTATATGTGTTTCAATTCCTTACATTTGCTAGCATATACACAAAGTGAAACCAGAATAAAATAGTTTATTTGCTAGTTTATATATGATTTCCATTCCTTAAACATAATAAACTATATCTGTGAGTGGAGGAATTTGAATAATTCCCAAAAAAGGCACTCTCCTGACACATCCTCTCTTCAGTCTGGCTGTCCATGGAACACACACCCATTGACAAAACCTGTGAATTGGCACGATTCTACTCATCTTACTGTGATCCCAAATTTGCCTTCCAAATCCCAATAAGCCATTTTTAAGGTGTAAAAGGAATAATGCAAAAGAAGCTCTCTGTAGATTCTAACAACCTCACAGATCTCTGCTTTATATCACCCAAACATAAGAAAAATAAAGGTAAATTTTAAATTATTTTTCTCTAACTACAGAACACTTCAACTATATTTTAAAAGCAACCACTACATTTGAATAAAATTAAAACTTTTATACTAAATAAATTAAAATGAAAATGCAGCCTTCCATATCCTATATATGCAAAAACAAGACATCCACAATATATCTGGTTGTATGTACATTAAAAATTATATACTTTTATGGAAAGACGACTGCATCAATATATTTCAAATTGTGGACATCTGTTATTTCTAGTGAGAAGAATAGGAAGAGAAAAAGGGAAATGAATGGTGAGGTTTACAGTTGCTTTGCATACGTCTAAATTTTTGAAACATTCCCGTAGTGTTTTGTATACTGGGACTAAATTCATATAATATTTTATAAGTAAATGTAAAGTAAATGGTAGCCTGGCAATATTGCTTTGATTCTTAGTAAAATGCTAATAAAGCTTTTTCAGTCTTAAAGAATTTACCATCATAATTGTGTTAAGTGAGATTTGTCTGCTTTCAACAAGCCCCACAAAGCCAGCAGTTCAAGGTTGGCCATGCAGTCATGAGCATGATGACCAGCTTATGTCATCAGCTGCCATCTCCAGCCATCGCCAACTACCCACACAAATCATCTTTTTCTACTGGGACTGGAAGGGACAGCTTAGTTCCAATACACAAACTATAGCTGTACAAAGTAAGAGTGAACAAGTGAAATGAAGTACATTTTAAAACTCTACTGCCATTTCTAGAATCTTTATAATTGAATTCACTTTATCTTTGGCTCTGTATGTGATAAAAGGCATGCTATCAGATGAGGCTCTCTATTCAAGAAAATTTGAAACCTATGTCCCCAAGGTACATATATGTCTATAAATCTTGTTCTACCCACAATACAGAGATTGAAAGTTTCCATCTCACTCACAGAAGCCATGCTCCACAATGAATATATACCACACTGAGGATAACAATTTCCCATAAACACTTGTCCAAACAGAAAGTATATTAATTATTCTGTTGCACTCTGACTACATTTCAGACTTTAGTTAGAATTTAGAATAAGCTTTATCCATGATGAAGAATCTGATCACAGGTAGTGATATTTCTATTGTGAGATTTTT